CCCGGGAGGGGTTTTTTCCAAAATTTTTCCGGTTTGGGGAAGGCCGGGAAGGTGGCCAAATTAATTTTTCCCTTTTTCCCATCCCGGGGGTGCTTGGGGAAGGTGGGGGGGGGGGGGGGGGGGGGGGGGGGGGTTGTGGCCTCCACCTTTCTGTTGGGATCTTAATTGTCGAAAAAACCCCTTCTTTTCCCTTCTCTTTCTTCCCCCCCCCCCTTTTCTCTCTTTTTCCCTTTTTTTTTTTACGCGGGGTTTAAAAGGGTTTAAGGATCCCTAGTTTTTTGGGAACAAGCTTTTTTACGGGTTTAAAGGATTCTTAACTTTTTTTGGCAAGCAAAGACTTTTACCTAATCAACTATTTAAAAAGCATTTTTTTTGGGTTATGAAAAACATAAAATTTGGGGGAACGGGAAATGAAGTTGGGCCAAAAATGGGGGCCCAGCTTTTTCATTTGATCAACTGGTTATGTAATAAATTTGGGTTTAAGAATTACCGCAAAAAGGAAAAGTAAAAGGACACAAGTGAAAACTAATGTGACATTTTTTTTTGGCAACGTTTCGTTTCCCCAAAGGAGCTTTATCAAGCTTTTAAAAACCCAATACTGGACACAGAGGGTAAAATAAAGGCTCGGTGAGGTAAATTTACTAGTGAGGAAACCTTTTCAAATTTTCCCACTAGGGTGTAGTAGTAGTAGTGGTGTGACAAAAGTAAAACAATAGGGTTTAAGAGCAATTAATTGAAACAGAGAAAAAGGATATAAAAGCTTTTACTTGGGTAACTTTAAAATAATAGGTTGGAAAAATTTTAAACTGGAATGAGGCAGCTTGTTTCAGTTTTCATCTCTGTGCTTTGTGTAAATAACAGGAGAGACTATTTTAGGGGAAGGGTTTACTTTTTTTCAGGGGGGTTTCTTGCTAAGATTTGGGGAGAGGGTTTGAAAGCTGCCGTTTTTTTGTTTAATTCTTTCAAAACGGGCGTTTCATTTGCGGGATTCGAGGAAATTTTGCGTCTGGGGGAAAAATTAGTTTTTTTTGATCCCCAAATTGGGCGTCTCTGAATTTCATGAGATGTTTGGGTGGAATTTCGGTTGTACACAGGCGTTTTCAGGGGTTTTCGTTCTACTTTGGGAAAGGTTTCATTGGGCGGGGGGTCCCAGGTTTTTGGGTGTTTTTAAACCCACGGGAAATCCCTTTTCACAAACCTCCCCAGGGTTTTAAAATTTTAAACCCCCGGGATTGACTGGTTCGTGGGGCTTTGGAAATTTTTCCGGTTATATCCTTTATTGAAATGCTAAAAAGCGTTTGGCCCACTCTGGTGTTAGCTTTTGAAAGTGCTTTTTTAACGTTCTTTCAAAATGACTTTTGGGAAGAAATTTTTAAAAATTTGGGTGGGAGTGGTGTTGATGCGTGGAGAATTTATGATTGAAGACTCTTTTCTTGCGTTTTGAAGGAAAAAAAAAGAAATATTAACTCTGTGAAAGTTTTTTGGGGGGGAATGTATGTACACTCCTTTTGCAAAAAATTTAGGACTACAAATTCGGTATGCCTTTGGAAAAAACCCCCCAATTTATGCCCTCTTTTTGGGGGTTGGTTTTCTTGACTAACACCAAGTCCCATCGCTTCTACACTTCAATAAAAGGGGAAAAACCAGGACAAAATCCAAGCACCCCGAACCCGTCCCAAAGCGGAGTTTACAAATATACCCTTTGGAGGCTGTGAACAAGATTTACTAGGTAAAAAGCCAGGAACCCCAACCCCCCTCAATGAACCCCATTTACGCATTTTAGGAACGATAACCTGACAAAAAGCCTGTGTAAAAACCGGGAAAAAACCCCCCAAATTTTTTTTTGAAAATTTAGAGACGGCCCCAAATTGTGATCAAAAAGAAACTAAAATTTCCCCAGACGCAAGTCCCTCGAATCAGCACTGATCGCTTTTTTTTGAATACAATTAAACAAAACAACGGAGCTTCAAACCAAACTCCGAAGTCTTGAAAAAAATCCTCCTGAAAAAAGTAAACCCCCGCCCTCACCAAAACTCTCCTTTTTTTTTACTACACAAAGCACAGAGAGTGAACACTGAAAAAAAGCTGCCTCATTCCGTTTTTTATTTGTCCAAACCCATTTTTATGTTACCCAAGTATTTGCTTTTATATCCTTTTAATCATGTACGAAAATTAATTGCTCTTAAAATATTGTATTACTTTTGGGCACTACCACTTTCCTTTTACTACTACTACTAAATACTTCCCCGTGAAAATCGAAAAAGGTTCCTCACTATTTTCCCCCTCACTCTTTAGCCTTTTATTCCCTCTGTGTTCCGTATTGTTTGTAAAAGGGTTGATTTAAAACTCCTGGGGAGCAAACGTTGCCACAATAAATGTCCATTTGTTTTCACTTGTGTCCTTTTTACTTTACCCAAAATGACGTTATCCGGTTTGTCATTATGCTGTTCGAATGTGTTCCATACTCGAGTCATCCCCGGTTATATATTTATCTCAGATGGAGTGGAAAGTTCTGGAGAAGGGTACAGCCGAGTGAAATTGCTACTTTCTGCCCTTCTTTTGGCTTAAAAGCTTGTTTTTAAGCTTTTCCTCGAAGGGGGTCCAAAATGTGGGATTTTGACAAAATTGGCCTTGTACATAACCGTAAGGCCACCCCCAAATTTCTCCTATGTTGAAAAGGGTTGCTGAAATTACAGATCTATCCAGGTTTTGGGCCCCGGGGAGGATGGGAACCCTTCCCTTGGGTAGTTTTTACTCGGGCAAGCAGTCACAGATGAGAGGGGGCAGGCAAACGAAGAAAGTCCAATGTCCAGTGCTACCACACAGCTGACTTTGGATTCATTCAGTGACTGGTGCCACTTAGTGGAGAGGTTTAACAACAGATCAGCAGCAGAGTAACCTTTCCTGTAGCCATATTGATGATCACAAAGTAGTGAGTGGTAGTCAAAAAACTGTCATTTGTCTTGAGATTGTCTCAAGGATCTTACCAGCGATTGACAGGAGTGACACTGGTCTTTAGTTGCTGATTTGTGCTCTGCTCTTCTTTTTGTGAACAGGGACTACATTTGCCTCTTTCCACAGAGAGGGCAATTTACAATGTACTAGGCAGTGCTGAAAGATGCGAGTTAGAGGTGCTGCTAGCTGGTCTGCACATCTTCTCGCAACTTTGGGCTCAACTTTTTTCTGGCCCACAGCCTTTTCTTGCCAAGCGATTTAAAGAAGAAATGCCCCCTCCTCCAGCCTTATTGGGCACCACTGACAGTTTTGACACAGTTCTTGCAGTTCATACAGTTCTCTCTCTCCCTCTCTTCCTTTCTCTCTCTTCCTCTCTCTCTTCCTCTCTCCCCTCTCTTCCCTCCTCTCCCTCTTCCTCGCTCTCTCCTCTCTCCTCTCTCTCCTCCCTCCCCTCTCTTTTCCTCTCTCTCTCTCTTCCTCTCCCCTCTCTCCCCTCTCTCTCTCTTCCTCTCTCTCTTCCTCTCTCTCTCCTCTCTCTCTTCCCTTTTCTCTTTTCTCTTCCTTTCCCCTCTCTCTCTTCCCCTCCCTCTCTCTCTCTTCCTCTCTCTCTCTCTTCCTCTCTCTCCCTTTCCCCTCTTCCTCTCTCCTCTTCCTCTCTCTTCCTCCTTCCCTTTTCTTCCCTCTCTCTCTCTTCCTCTCTCTCTCTTCCTCTCTCTCTCTTCCTCTCTCTTCCCCCTCTCTTCCTCTCTCTCTCTTCCCCTCTCTCTCTTCCTCTCTCTCTTCTTCTCTCTCTTCCTCTCTCTTTTCCCTCTCTCTCCTTCCTTCTCTCTCCTCTCTTCTTCTCTCTCCTCTCCCTTCCCCTCTCCTCTCTTCCTCTCTCTCTTCTCTCCCTTTCCTTTTCTCTCTCTCTCTTCCTCTCCTCTCTCTTCCCTCTCTCCCCTCTTCCTCTCTCTCTCTTTCCCTCTCTTCCTCTCCTCTCTCTCCCCTCTCTTCCTCTCTCTCTCTTCCTCTCTCTCTCTTCCTCTCCTCTCTTCCTCTCTCTCCTCTTCCTTCTCTCTTCCCTCTCTTCTTCCTCTCTCTCTCTCTTTTCCCCTCTCTCTCTTCCTCTCTCTTCTCTTCCTCTCTTTCCTCTCCTCTCTTCCTCTCCTCTCTCTTCTCTCCCTCTCTCTCTTCCCTCTCTCTCTCCTCTCTCTCTTCCCTCCTCTTCCTCTCTTTTCCTCTCTTCCTTCCCTTTTTCCTTCCCTCTTCCTTCCTCCCTTTCCTTCCCTCTTTTTTCCTCTTTTCCTCTCTTCCCCTCTCTCTTCCTCTCCCCCCTTTCCCCTTTCCCCCTCTTCCCCTCCCCTCTTCCTCTCCCCCCTTCCTCTCCCCCTCTTCCCCTCCCCTCTTCCTCTCCCCCTTTCCTCCCCCCCTCTTCCTTCCCCCTTTCCCTCCCCCCTCTTCCTCTCCCCCTCTTCCTCTCCCCCTCTTCCTCTCCCTCTCTTCCTCTCCCTTCCTCCTTCCTCCCCCCCTTTCCTCCCTTCTCTTCCCTTTCCCCCCCTTTCTCCCCCCCCCCCCCTCTCTCTACACAGATCATTAAGTTGTAAGATTTGAAGCTAGCAATGTAAATTTGTAAAGCTTAAGAAGTATGTGGGAAATAAACATGCAAGCTCTGTAATATAGGTTATAATATCCGCCACATCCTCATTGTTTGGTATGGTTCAGATGCAGGTATTTATTTAATTGTTATTGCGGATGTAAGAAATTGTGTGGATGTTCTGCAGATGCGGATATCCCATACATCCCTAATTCTCAAAGCCTCTTGTACTCCCTCCCTCTGACTGTTCCTGGAATGACCCCTACCCCTTCTACCTTCCACTCTAGATTTGTACACCCTCTTCATTACATTTATGGTACATGTATCATGTGTATACTTTATTGCTTTTTTTCTCTTGTTGACAAGTGTTTTTTCTTTTTTTCTTCATACACTAGACTTGCTCATAATTTGATGTTATTGTTTTTGGAGTATGCTTACTGACTTGAATAATATTTTTTATCTTGTTTTACAGACTTTCAGGAATCATTTAGAAAGCACAAACCATGAACGCATGCAGCGTATTTTCCATATCAAAGAAGCATCTATTCTGCAATTCTTAAGGGCACAATCAAAGGTAATTAATTTTAATTTTATTTTTGCGAGTTAAGTAATGTGGTTTGAATGTTGAGTTAATTATTTGTGATTTCTTCGAGTTTGCAAGGGTGACCTCCTCGTGCTTAATATGACTGGTGGCTGTGAAATATCCTTGTCATATCTGTTTTTGAATGCCTGTATGGAGTTTGCTTCAACTGTAATTTAATTCATTATGCTTCTTTACTCCACTTAGGTATAAGAAATGTTATGTGATATCCCTGTAACACATTACATGTGTAAGTTCCAACAGATATATTCCAAATAACATTGGCTCTGTGGGCAAAATTCTCTCTCCATTTTCCAGCTCTGATATCCATCTGTTCTAATGAAGTTGTCGATACCAAACAATATTCTGGACATGAGAGTACAAGTTATTTAAATAGCATTACCATTGGCATTTTTCTCATTTTGAAATCTCACATTATCACCCTGTCGGTTTTCTGAGGTTCTCAGCATGTGCCCCCCCTCCCCCCCCCTTCCCCCCTTCCCCCCCCCTCCCCCCCCCCCTTCCCCTCCCTCCCCTTTTTTTTTCACCATCTCCCACTGAGGTATGGTGATTAGAAAATAAAATACTTTCACAATCACTCACTCCATCACTCTTGCCAGAGGCTTGCCGATACTACAATTCAGATGCCCCTCCAAACTGCAAAATATCCCTACCCCTTCTTCAGAGTGCAGGCACTGTACTTTCCACCTTTAAGACAGAAGTCTGGCTAACCAGTTTTCCTGAATTCCTCCACAAAAAGTTACCTTGCTTACACTGCAACAGCATGTCTTAGTCCCAAAACAGTTTGACGCCATTCACTGCTATCTGACACATTCACACATGCCTGCTAGGTCATTTGTTATTATAACAGTGTTTTACACATTTCTTTCATTCTATGAATTGAATATTTTGTGTTATTGTATTAACATTCCCTTTCATTTTTAACAGCTGGCTTCACAGAGGAACATTCTGAGGCTACGGAGGTTGGGTGCAAAAGGTCGCATCATGCAGTGTACGAAGTGTCTTTGTCCCTTTATGGGAAGTCTTGCTGATCACAGAAAAACTCGAGAACACCTTGTGAGTTATTACAAGAATACAGACTCAGAAATGCATAGTTTTTTTTTTCTTTTAAATGACTTTTTATACGAAAATTAACTTGAAAATTACTTCTCTTGAAATTTTAATTTTCTCATTTGATGCATGCATAAGATTAATCTCTCAGTATTATCTCTTATAAGTTATACACGTGTGTGTGTGTTTATTTTTCATTTAAGAAAATGTAATTTTTTTTTTTTTATTTCAGCTTGTGAGTAACTTCTCAAAATGCACACACTGCAATCTTTTGTTTGACAACAGAATTGAACTGGAGAAACACTGCTTCTCCTATTTCCACATGATGGTATGTTAAGAAAACTACAATTTGGTTTTAATTTTCTTAGATATCATGGCTGATTTTTTGCATATATTTACAGTGCAGTGGTACCACGAGTTTCGAACTGCTCCCAATTCGACCAATTATGTAAGTGTTTTATTGTAAGTGTATTTTTAGGGGGTCTGAAATGGACTATGTAATCTAATTTACATTATTCCTTGTGAAAACAAATTCGTTAGGCAACGGCACTCGAACAGCCTTCTGGAACAAAGAAAGTTCGAAACTCGGGGTTACCACTGTACATTGCTTTACATTGCATTCTATAGTAAGAGTAAAATTTTTCTGTAACTACCTAAATACGTATTTTCAATTGGTTGTGTGCGGACAAGTCTAACATTCATTGAATGCTAATATTTACCGTATTTTTAACCCTTTAACCGTCCAAACATAGCTCAATGTTTTTACTGCTAACGCTCCAAATGTAGATCAACATTTTATTTTTCCTGGCTTCAAATTTGGTGCCAAAGGCCTGATAGGCCTAGGTAGTATAGAATGGGTCTTAACACTGAGTGTGCAGTATCAAAAATATCTGGGATCACTTGGTACCCTGTGGGAGCACCAGTTCAGTTGAGCGCCAGCTAGAGCAAACAGTGTGGCAAATCCCGGGAAGTCACTAATGCATGCCGTATCAACACTAGTTTTAGGTGGAAAGTAATGTTGACACCAAGTTTAGTGGCTTTGGGATGGGTGTGGCCACAACTAGTCGAGGAAATACAGTAAACCTAGATAATGACTCGTGTGTAACATTTGTGCCATATCCTTTCAGTTTTGATGCATCTGGTAGTGTCTTACTTCCAGAATGTCCTATCCTCTATGCACTAAGTAAAGAGAGAGAGACAGAGACAGATATTGTCTGTCTATGTTTCTTTGTCTCTAAGAGAGCCACTTATGAACCATCAGATATTACACATGTTGCAAAATTGTCACATCTGAACAAGTGGAAATGCTATTACTTGCCACAATCATGCGTATGCCTCATATCTACAAGCATTGTATAGGTAACTCTCACTATGTATGAAAACTGTGCTTGTGTGTCCCTGTTCCTAAATTAACTTGCTTAGTTCTTGATTCTGTTTCGTGAGTGACTCTCTCTGAGGCAGACAGAGACGGGGAGATAGGCACGGAGACAGGGAGATAAGCATGGAGATGGGGAGACAGGCATGGAGACGGGGAGATAGGCACGGAGACAGGGAGATACAGACAGACATACTTATTTGGAACAGTGAGAACAAATTTAAAAAAAACATATGCCAAGGTTCACTGGGAGCAGTACATGATCAGCAATACTGAGTGACTGCACTATCAGCTGTTTATAGTGACACTCTTCTCTGACACTATGCTTTAAGGAGTTTCATATACTCCAGCACTTCTAAAAACATTGCTTGGACCCAAAAGTAATTTATACATATCTCTAGACTATACAGAGACTCTCCTACATACGAATTGTCGTGTTGTGAACTTTTGAAAATTTGAAAAATTTGCCCTGAAGTCGAAAATTTGGGCATAAGATTTAGTTCACTGTGTGGTGGTGGCCATGCAGCATGGGATGTGCTGAGATGTAAACACTGCATATCAGGTTACTCTAGTGGCATCGTTCATACGTGTGCTTGGCCACCACCCAGACATCCCTAGACTCTTTCTTCAAGAGGGTGGACAAAGGTAACGAGTCTCCAGGAGCCTGAATCAGTGTTGTCGACTTCAGATGCTACGACATTCAGGCCAACATATTATTTACAAACTTTATTTATAAGCATTATTAACTTTATTTAATTTATAATGTGTTTTGTGTTATGTAGGACTTACGAACAAATGGACTTGCGAATGATGGCTCAGAACTGAATCTGTTTGTAAGTAGGGGGTATCAGTAGTATGTGACTGAGACAGGTGAACATGTTCACGTGTGTGTGTGTGTGTGTGTGTGTGTGTGTGTGTGTGTGTGTTGTGTGTGTGTGTGTGTGTGTGTCTGTCTGTCTGTCTGTCTGATTACTATTTCTGTACCTAATATTATTGTCAGAACTATAGAGGGCTGAGGGCTGAGGAAGGGTTGTTGAGGTGGTTCGGACATGTAGAGAGAATGGAGCGAAACAGAATAACTTCAAGAGTGTATCAGTCTGTAGTGGAAGGAAGGCGGGGTAGGGGTCGGCCTAGGAAGGGTTGGAGGGAGGGGGTAAAGGAGGTTTTGTGTGCGAGGGGCTTGGACTTCCAGCAGGCATGCGTGAGCGTGTTTGATAGGAGTGAATGGAGACAAATGGTTTTTAATACTTGACGTGCTGTTGGAGTGTGAGCAAAGTAACATTTATGAAGGGATTCAGGGAAACCGGCAGGCCGGACTTGAGTCCTGGAGATGGGAAGTACAGTGCCTGCACTCTGAAGGAGGGGTGTTAATGTTGCAGTTTAAAAACTGTAGTGTAAAGCACCCTTCTGGCAAGACAGTGATGGAGTGAATGATGGTGAAAGTTTTTCTTTTTCGGGCCACCCTGCCTTGGTGGGAATCGGCCAGTGTGATAATAAAAAATAATAATAATAAAAAAAATATAAATTGCAATTACCAGAACAAAAAAGTCCAACAAACTGGCATATCCCACTGAACATAAAAGTTATGTAAATTAAAAAATGAGAAATGTGTACTGGCAACATTTCTGCAAGTGGCAGGACTCCTGTTGCCGCCACATGAGCATCTAGTGCCAACTTCACCGCTTTATATCTCTAAGTACTGACCCTATTATGCACCAAAAATTGGCCTTTATTTTTTTTCAAATACGTATTCAGAATGCTAGCAGTGAAAATGTAGATCTACGTTTGTACAGTTAACCCTTTGAGGGTCTATTCCACAGTTCTACAGTTTTGAAGGCAGGGTCCAAGCCATAGTTCTACACCATGAGCTCAGCTCACTCAGATAAGCTGTGAATGGTAAATTTGGGCCTAGATATGAGAGAATGCATCTGTGTGATAAGTGTGCACCATATAAAACAAATTCTGCAGCACACAGTGTATAATGAGAAAAAACAACTTCGACTGTTTTTGGATTAAAACAGCTACTTTGCAGTGTTATACAGTGGACCCCCGCTTAACGATCACCTCCCAATGCGACCAATTATGTAAGTGTATTTATGTAAGTGCGTTTGTACGTGTATGTTTGGGGGTCTGAAATGGACTAATCTACTTCACAATATTCCTTATGGGAACAAATTCGGTCAGTACTGGCACCTGAACATACTTCTGGAATGAAAAAATATCGTTAACCGGGGGTCCACTGTATTCCTATGTTTTTTGCATTTGTATTCATGATTTCTTGGTCTCATTTGATAGAATGGAAGGTATATTACACAAATTGAGATGCTTTTGATTGGATTTAGTACTGAAAATTTCTTGAAACTGAGCTCAAAGTAGCGGAAATGTTCGATTTTTGCCAGTGTTCAAGAGTAAACAAATGACGTCAACTGGTGAGTCTAATATATGTACATGAATGTGCTGATATTATTTATACAATTATTACAATATTGCATAACAGTAAATCTTTATTTTTTTGGTGTGAATAAAAATTCATTATATGAATGAAAATGGAAAGGAAATTCATTTATAATGCCTGGAAATGTAACTAATAAACAGAGGAAGTGTTATTTTCATGTTAGGAATGCCTGCATTTTTTATTCTGGACCCTATTTTGAAATTGGAATATTTTGAACTTGTGTGAAATTGGCCAAATTATGAATTTCTGATCAATTTATTGGGTAGTTGAAATAGTTTATTGGCTGATTTCTTGTGCTCAATCGATAAAATAATGTAATTGACCTAAAATGGGAGTCAAAGTGGACAAAATCGCCGATATTTAAATATCGCTGATGCAGCAAAATTTGCGAGAACGTAATTTCGTCAGTTTTCCAACAAATTTTGTACTTGTTGTTTTATTACCTTCAGATAAAGATTCTCTACCATTTCATAAGAAAAATATTTTTTTTTTCTTTAAATTCTTGGACCCTGTCAACAAGTCTCAGATCAATGGTATGGACCCTGAAAGGGTTAAATGTTAAGTAAAGTTCAGTTTTGTTTGGGATGAAGGTAATAGACATAATTAGTATTTATCCTAGGAGACATGCATGTCACTGTATACCTTCACAGCATAAATTTCAGAGATTTAAGTGTTTTCTTAATGCTAATACTACTAGACACATTTTACTCAATAAAAATGCATAGCATCTCATTTTCATACATTAAATGAGCTTATAATTTAAGTATGATGTTTACAGTGACTATAACATTTTACATTGTTATATATTTTTGTTATTATGTATATAATATTGGTGAGGGGCTCTTGATCTAAGAAATTCTGCCTATGCTTCATTTACCTGAATTAAGCCTGAATGCCATCAGTTTCCCTGGGTACTGTATAACTGCTACAGGTTTACCACTCTCCCCATGACTAATAATTGTTCATAATATTAGTTAAATCATTTTCTCCATCTTTTTTAATACTTATAAATTTTTACTTTCTTATTTGGCAGGATTTACAGCATCCCACTTTTATCAAATAGACATTTTTTTATGATATTCTAGTGAGACTGGCAGAAAGGGGACACAAGTATAGTATCCTTGGTTTAGTGGACCTTGATTTAATGGACTTGGGGAATGTGGAACAAAATTTTTGGGTCAATTCATTGGGAAACGACATGCAGAATTTGTTGGTTACAGAATTGTCCTTGGTTATGATCACAGCAAATGAATTTAGTCTCTATCCACAACAACCTCCATAATCACCTACTGACTTTTTTCTATTAATCCATTAAACCAAGTATTTATTGTATTGTTGAGAGTGATTGTGAGTGTTTTGTTCATTGTAGAGAGCTTATCAATTCATTTGATAAAGCACTGCACTGACCAAATATTGCCAGAATGAAAAGTTCTTTAACCCCTTAACTGTCCAAACACCCTGAATATTTTGAATTTTTTTTTCCTTAAAGAGGACAATT